GGGCCTTGCCTGAGGCCTCACAGTGAGGCTGGGGCCAATGTCCCTCACCAGCCTGGCTCATAGGCCCCTTGGGGACAGAGCCCAGGAGGGTGACCCAGACATTCCTGCCAGCAGAAAGGAGAAGCACCAGGCTTTGATTTGGGTTTCTCCCTATGGATGTCCTTATAGAAATGACATGTGCCCCCCACTCCCTGCGTCGTCCCCAGCTCATAGTTGCAAACTGGGCCACGCCCAGCGCCTAACCACCACCTTCTAACCACCACCTTCCAACTTCACAGTCCCAGGGGTGGACCCAGGTCCAAGGGGGGAGGGCAGCCTGAATTTCAAGCCAGGTGTGCCTGACCTATACTCAGTGTCCCTCAGCCCTGCAGGGGACCTGAGAGGTGGGGGATCCAGCCAGGAGCCCTAGTGTGGGAAGGAGGGGTCTGTTGGGTGGGCCAGCCCGTCACCAGGGGCCTGGTGTGGGTCCTGATGGGGTGCTGAGGCAGCTGGAGGCTGTCTCTGAGGGGCCCTGCCCCGCCCAGAGCCTACCTCATTGAAGATAAGGATGGCCACCTTCCTCTCCCGTTCCTCCTGGCTCTGCAGGCTGGGCAGCAGCTGGCGGGTCACTGCCTTGATCTGCCTACAGGGGCTCTGCACCATGGCCCTGGGGGGTGGGGCACGAAGGGCGGGACAGGGTGACAGGTCCTGGGCTCACAGAAAAGCCCATGCCCACCTTCCCGTCACCACCCAACCCAACCCAGGCCAAGTGGCTGGAGGTGTCACTGAGTGTGGGCACCATCCCTTAGAGTGAGCTTCCAGTCCCTCTGTAGCCACTGGGTGCCAAACCTGGGCTGGGAGTTGGGGAGTTGGGCTGAGAGAAGAGCAGGCACTGCCCTTATCCCTTAAAAGGCCTCAGGCTTGGGTGGGGTCTGGGGGAGACTCCTGAAACCATCGGTTCCCAGTGCATGGGTATGACGGGCACGGGGGCACACATCTTTCATGCCCGAGGGCCTATGTGCACACGTATGAGTCCATGGGACTGTTTGCATAGGCCGGCCTTGAGGGTCACTGCGACCTATCAACCCTCCCCTGCCTGTCCCTGTCCCTACCTGGCCAGGAGGCCCACACCCTGTGGGTAGGTGTCCATGGTGGTGAAGAGGTCCCAGGCGCCCTGCAGCTCCAGGTGGGCAAAGTCCTGATAGTGCCCCGTGGAAGACAGCAAGCTCCTCAGTGCCTCCAGTGACATGCTGCAGGGGGCAGAGGGGGTCACGGGGAAGGTCTTACCCCTGGGGGGTGCCTGACGTCCCATTTATTCCCGCTCTTGTTCACAGAAATGATTAGTTTTCTGAGTCACAGGGTGGAGGGGGTCCCTTTAAATGCAGGGCTAAGAGTCCAGAGAGGGCATGGGAGGAGTGTGAGGTGAGCCCAGGACTGGGTGGCATCATGGAAGCCCAGAGAAGGTCCATCCGCAACTCCTGACACTCCTCTGCCTTGAGAGAAGCCAGGTTCCACAGGTGCACTCCATGCTCAACAGAGCGCCAGGCATGAAGCATGGCCACTAGTGCTAGCCAGCAACCAGGTATCACTCCAGGCGTCGCCCCTGCACTGGCTAAGGGGACCCTGTGCAGCCGTACTCCCTACAGAGGAGGAAGCAGTCTGGTGAGGTGCCGGGCCCTGTCCTGGTCACACAGCCTTGCCAGGGGCAGCAGAAGTGGAGCTGAACCCAACCCTTGGCTCCAAGCCAGCACTGTGACGTCATGGCCACTGGCCCCGGCCTTGATGGAGGCTGCAGGTACAGGTCCCGGAAATGCAGGCCCACAAAAAGCAGGGCATCCCGTTCTGTGCCCATCCCCATCCAGGCTACTCTGAGCCTGGTTGCATCACTCTGGATGTGTGAGTGAACCCCAGGACGAGGCTGTCGGCTCCCACCAGGCAGGGGCTGAGCAGGTTTGCAAAGCCAAGTGTCAAAGAATGAAACGCCTCTCCCCGGAAGTCCCTGTGGTGCCAACCCAAATGCCAGCTGGCTTGTCATCTTGCTCCAAGCCGCCCCACTTAAAAGGCAGCAATTTCCAGGTCATTGGTCTCAGCTACAGAGTGAGGACCATTTCAGGGGAAGGGGACTTTGGGGAAGAGTGGTGGCTTGTTCCCCTTGTGTCAACTCTTGGAAGCTTCTGGTTTCATGATTGCCTGTCCTTGCAGCCCACCAGGGCGTCCAGGAAGACCATGTGGTCTGACCTGGGCATTCTCGGGACTCTTGCCCGGCTCTGGAGAGGTCGGTTGTCGGCCCCACGTGGGTGGGGGAAGCCAAGGCACTGACGCTGTGCCTAGCAGCTTTCTCCCCTCCCGCCGAGTTCTGGGAGGAGGACATTTTATTAGCTGATTAGGGGAGATCTGTGCATTCTGCACGGGTGAGTTGACTGGAAAAGGAACTTGATGCACATTTGAATTGAGAAGCAATGTGAGAAGAAGTGACATTTTTTTTCAGTGCCATGCCTTGGGGAGAGCTGTTAAAACTGACAAATTGCGTGAAGTACATCATAATACAAACAAATGAAAAGAGCCAGCCCCCGCGGTTTTAAAGACTTGCTTATTGGATTTCTCCAGACGCGAGCTTGTGCAGAGGGAAGCCGAGGCCGCCAGCCCACACCTCAGCTGTGTGCAGCAGGCCTGACCCTCCCACACAGGTCCCATCCACGCTGTCAGGCAGGGTGGAGGCCGGCAACCATCCATGACATCAGTACAAATGTACCGGGGTCCCGTGACTCTCATGGGTGACCCAGAAGGGTGTCTGCCTCCAGGGACCAGGCAGTAGCCAGGCGTATGCCCCTGCTGTGCTATGGGCTCTAGCTCAGGGACACACGGACATGTTGTGGGGCTCAGGGGAAGCCTCTGACCCTCTCTGAGCCTCAGTTTCCTTGTCTGTAAAATGGGGGACACATCTGTTTACAGAATCCCTGAAAGGACCACACTCAAGGAAGGTGTGGCAAATATGGCAAGTGTCGTCTTGTGGAGCCTATGTGCCAGCTGAGTGTCCCTGCTGCTGCGCATCCTCTGGTGACAAGTCAATGGGACACATCCCTGCCCCCTGGGTGCTCTCTACACCGGCCACTGCGCTGGCCTCAGATGGGGTTTGGAAGGTTGGACTGTGTCCTCCCCAAAGTGATGTCAAAGTCCTACCCTTGGTACCTGGGGAGGTGGCCTTATTTGGAACTACGGTCTCTGCAGATGGAATCAAGCTAGGAAGAGGTAATTAAAGTGGCCCCAATCCATCAGGACTGGTGTTGTTATAAGAAGGCGGATATCGGGACAGAGAAACAGGGGAGACGCGTGGTGAGGGAGGCAGGGATGACAGTGATGGTTTGCATGCCAAGGGACTTCAAGGATGGCCAGGAGCCACCAGGGGCTGGAAGAAACAGGAAGGAGTCTCCCTACAGGTTTCAGAGGGAGCATGGCTCTGTGGACACCTTGGACTTCTAGCCCTGGAACTGTGAGGGAATAAGTGTTGTTGCTTTAGGCTGCTTACTGTGGCCCTTAGTTGCTCGGCCCTAGGAAGCAAACACAGCATCTTTCAGCGGCAGGTCCTGCAGATGCTTTACCTCTGGGGGCTGGGCGCGGCCGCCTCCTGGGCAATCTGTTCGGGCTGGGGCTCCTCGGGCAGGCGCAGCTCCAAGATGTAGTGGATCTGGGTGAGGAGGGCCAGAAGGAGCTGCGGGTAGGCCTCCTGCACCGGCTTCTTGAACTCTCGGGCGGACTGCAGCTTATGGAGCGTGTTCGTGGCCTGGCGGGGCGGCAGGGGCTACTGAAGCACCCGAGACCTGGAGTCCGGGGCCCGGTCTGCTGACCAGCTGTGCATCAGACCCACGTCCAACCACGCCTCTCCCTCCCTGCTCATGGGGACCGAGCCCCTGAGATGCCCCTCCCGCAGGCCTGGCTCTGCCGGCTCACACAGCTATTGCCTCTTGTGCTTATAGTGGCATTTGGTCCAGAATGTTCTCAAGGGGAAGGAGGGAGCAACCGTAACAAGGGGAAGGCAGGGACTTGGGGCATGGCTGGATGCAGCAAAGGCCACCCTGCTCACCCATGCTGCTGTGTGGTGTCGACAGGGAGGCTGGCTCCAGCCCTGGGCTGGGCGGTGTTGGGGAAAGGGTAGGACTTCCCTTCTGCTGCCAGGTTCAGCTGTCAGGCCTCTGATGTATGCAGTATGTCTAGGTGGCTTCAGGTAGGGAGGGGAGTGTGTACTCTGGGCTGCTGCTCAGGGGGCTTTGGGGCAGGGGGAGGTCTCAGCCTGGAAAAAACCAGGAGTGGGGCACAGCTGCTGCCTCATCAGAGTCAGCCAAAGAGGATGGGCTGGCATGTTAGGAAGTGAGCTCCCTGTTCCTGGCGCTGTGTAAGCAGAGCCTCGGCGTGTGGAGAAAGCTGGGGGCAGGGCAGTTCCTATAGGAGGGGGAGCTGCAGGAGGCAGCCTCTAAGATTCCTCCAGAATCTACAACCCCCAGAGCCCAAGCCCGCCTCACCACTCCCGCCTCTCTGCCTGAACCTGGCCCGAAGCCCCTCTGCCTCCACACTGTCCTCACAGTGAGTCCTGAGTCTTGCCTCTACACCATATGCCTGAGTGTGCCGCAGGACACCACGTCCCACCTCACTGAGGTGAAACAGGCTCGGGAGGGGTCCGGAATCTTTGGCCAGGAGGTGGGAGCTGGGCCTGGCCCGGTCCATGCAGTCAGCCCTGGCTGGGCGGCCTTGTAGGCCTCTCTTCCAGGCCAGGCTGGGCAGGGCTGGGTGTCCCCCCTCCCCGGGCTTGGCACACTGTGGGCTCCCAGACACCATGATATCTGACTGAATGCCCACATGAAGTTGCTTCAGCCCAGTGGCAGTGGGTGGGTGGCTTCTGGGGGTGGCAGACTCACGGCCAGTGAACGCAGGTAGGTCTTCTCCTTGGGTTGGGGGCCGCTGCTGCTGGTACCGAGGGGCAGGGGCCTCTCCTGCAGCCATGCAAGCAGCGTGGCCAGCACCAGGCGGCTCCCACGCTGCTCAGCCCCCAGTGCCCTCCACAACTGGAAGGCGTGGCTGTGGGCAGAGAAGGGCTGTGAGGGCTCAACCTTGCTAGTGTGCCGCCATGACCAGGGCCTCAGGTGCCTGGAGTGGCATGGCCGGGGGGACATGGGAGATGCCCTGGGTCCCTGTTCCTGGGTCTCCCCACTTTCAGGGTCTCTCCTCCAGGCCCTCCTTACTCCAGCTGCAGACTCTGACTCTGTCACCTTCAGTGGCTCCCAAGTACTGGCAGGACAAATCAGGCTGGCATTCAAAGTTGTCACCCTCTGACTCCTTCCCTCTGGCCTCCAGCCCCTGCCTGTCCTCCCTCCTCTCCTGCCTCTGGACCTTCGTATATTATCGTTTCTTATGCTTGGAGCACTCTTCCTCACTGGCCTATTTCCACTCTGCCTTTAGGGCTCGCCTTGAAGTTTCCTCCTCATAGAAGCTTGCTCTGGCTAGTTCCTCCTAGACCTGGGTTTGTTGGGGTTCAGCTCCCCCAGGCCCAACTTGAGTCAAGTGAGGGACCATCACTGGCATGTGCAGAGCTTTGCAGAGTCCATTCTGCAGATGGGGAAACTGAGGACCAGAGAGAGAAAGGATGTGCCCAGGGCTCTGTGTTAGAACTGGGGAGTTAGGACTGGAGGCCAGGCCTGCATAATCCTATGGCCTTTCCATCAGTCCAAGGGCGTGGCCCTCTGAGACTTGGGAGAGGCAGGGGGCATTGGGGCTCCCAAGATATAGGTGATTGACAGCCTTCTGTTTTCTGTGCAAGGTGGTCTTCGGGCCTGAGTGCTGGGTGGAAAGGGCTGGAGGGTGGGAGGGACTCTGGAATGATGTGTGAGGGCTGGGAGGGCCATAGTGGGTGAACTGGATGGGCTCTGATCCCCAGCTTTAAGGCAGACCCAATGGGCGGCCACCCATGAGCCCTGGGGAGGCCATCCCTGTCCCATATGACCCTGGGCTGGGTGGGCATAACAGCTCAGAGGACTCTGAGAGATCCCCAAGTGTGGTCACTAACCATCTGGGAAGAGGGGGCCTTCGGAGTCAGAAGGTTCTGGGCTCAAATCCCCGCTCTGCCTGTGCTGGCGGTGTGACCTTGGGGACGTCAGTTCCCCTCTTTAGGGGCTTAAGTGAGATGATTCTCCAGGCGCAAGATTCCCAGGGGTCCAAGGTTTCTATTTTGCTCCCTATGGGCATCTGTCAGTCAGTGTGTGTGCTAAGCACTATCACATATAGGGTACCTCCCAGAGGACCCGGCAGTGACAGAGCCAGCAAAAACCCGATAGTGGGAGTGACCATCACAGCCTGCAGCAAGCAGGGTGTAGGAGGTGCTAAGTGCAGACAGCCGGGCAGGGGAGGGCAGAGAGGGAGGGGCACCTGGTGCTGCTGATTTTGAGTGGGGCAGTCAGGGAGGCTTCAGCAAGAAAGGGGACTGGGCACGGACCTGAGTCTGCTAGGGGAGCCATGCAGCTCGGGTGGGGGGAGCCTGCCTCCAACTATATGGTACGTGCTAGGAGGAGCCCTGTACACTCAATGTTAAGAAAAAAAGCCAGATAAAAGAATATTGGAAGGTTACACACTAGTTTCTGTTTACACTTTTAGGATACCACCGTACTATTTCCTGTACTTCCAAGAAAGAAAAATGATCCAATATGGGTGTATAACCCCATCCTAGAGCTGGGGCCCCAAGGGCTGCCTCGATAGTGTAAATGCGAAAAAAGGAAATGCCTGCCACACAGAGAAACACAACAAGGATACCTGTGTGCCTCGACCAGCACACTGGGCGGGTGGGGAGAGGCTCTCCTCAGGATCTGAGTCACAAATCTGTTTGGGGTCTGATTCACACCACCAGTGTGGCCCCAAGAAACCTCGAGCAGAGAGTTTAAATGTGAAATGTCCTCAGGCTGGTAGTTCCCCCAGGTGGCCGAGACGCTACATAGAGCCAGATGTAAGGCATCTCCCATGTCACATGCACTCCTGCTGCATGGACATTGGAAAGTGGAAAATGCTTCTGAGGACGGAGGAAGTCAGAAATATGTTTCAACACAGAGATAATCTGGATGAGACTGGGCAGCGGGAGACCGCGATGGCTGCCTGGGTTCCCACCGTTCAAAATGTCCTTGAGAAACAACACAGAGCAGGAAGAAGGGAAAAGTAAGATGACCCAAAGCTGTGACCTGGGAGAACACCCGAACTCCAGCTTGACTACGAGCAGGAAAGTGCCAAGCCACTGTGCCTTCCTTACCCCACCAGGAGGTGATGGCAGCTAAGGACCGGAGAGAGGCGTGTCCAGTCTGAAGGGCAGTCTTCAGCATACACAGCTTTGGGGAGAGAAAAAAAGCAAAAAGAAAGAAGTCCCCTTTGGGAAACTACGTGGTGAAAGGGAAAGACACAAAAGGGAAACACTTAAGGGCCTGAAAGAGAAAAGAGAACCCAGAACACTGGAGGACAGGTGACCCTTTCACCTACTGCCAAACCAAAAATCTACAGAGTTTTCTGGATTTTGCTGTACTGACAGAAGAGGGTGCCATTGAACTTGAAATTCTAGAAAAAGCTCCAATATAGTGTTTTATGTGAACAGGAACAGAATGAACAGATCCATCAAGTACTTGCAAAGAAATCAGAGGACAAAATCAACACACATCAAATGAGGGAACTCTCCCCTGAAAACCACCACGATGCAGACAAAGCTGTAAGAGGACACTTCAAAGGCAGTTCAATGCACTCAAGCAAGCGTTTAAAGATAGGAACATCTACCTTGGATTATAAATTTAAAAAAGGACACATAAAAAAGCCTCTAATAAGAAAGGAAAAGTTGACTGAATTCAGGAAAGAGATGGAAGAAATGACAAAATTATCTCAGAAAAAAATACAATGTGCCCAAGAAAGATAAGACTCAAATGAAAATTTAGTAAGGGGCATTCGGGAAAGCAGTAAAACAGCCAAGAGAGTGACTGTGAGCTTAAGGCAGAAGTCAGAAGGATCAGAGAGAAAGTAGTGGAAATGAAGGGTAAGGGGAGAGGGGCATCTGAGTCGCTGGCCTCTCTGAAGCAGCCAAACGGCGATGGAACAGAACTAGCACTTAAAACTATAGCCAAGAGGACTTTGCAGAAACAACAACAACGAAATTCTTAAATCTACACATTCAAGGAACCCACTGGGACCTGGGAAAATTAATAACCAACTCTGAGACATTTCTTAGCATAAATATTAAATTTCAAAGACAAAGAAAAAAAATCTGCAAAAAGAGCATATAACTTACAAAGGCAAACAAGTTATTGTTATCAGAGTTTTCGAATATAGAACAAGGCTATCTCTGAGCAGCGTTTATAAAACACTTAATAAAAGGAAGTGCGAACCAAGGAGTTTATATTCAGACAAGCTGTCCTCCACAAAAACAACTTTCAACATAAAGAAGTGGGGAAGGGGGTTCTGGAGCCATGAGCCCTTCTTGAGTAACTTGTTGGAAGATGAGTTTCATGCAGCTAAGGGATGACCAGATAACGTCACAGAGGGACTGGGCCGAGCATGTGTACACAACAATAACAAAGGCGGGGATGAGGCTGGACGACGAGACTGCAAATTTTGATAAAGTATACATTCGCAACTGAAAAAATGGGAGGATATAAGAGCCAGAAAGAGGAAAGCGGGAGCAATTTCACTGATGGTTAGATGGGCAATGGGTGGGAGTTAAAGAATGTCGGTAAAAATGAAAACACACACAGAGATATTAAAAAGTTAAATAATAAAGCAGGAGACTAGGGGCATTAAAATAGGTTAGGAGTACAAAGGCAACAACTAGAACAAACAGAACCGTTTCTAAATTAAAAATACACACACCTGAAGACCAAAGAATGCACATCTTATAGAAAAAGAAATGCAACAAATGGGCCTGGCTGGTTTGGCTCAGTGGTTAGAGCATCAGTCCGTAGACGCAAGGGTCCGGGGTTCAGTTCCAGCCACGGGCACAGACCCGGGTTGCAGGCTTGATCCTGGGCCTTGGTCGGGGTACGTGTGGGAAGCAACCAATCGATGTGTCTCTCTCACATCTGTGTTTCTCTCTCTCTCTCCCTCCCCCTCTTCCACTCTCTCTGAAAAGCAATGGAGAAAATATCCTCAGGTGAGGATTAAAAAAAAAAGTAAAAAAAAAGGAATGCAGCAAATGTAACAAAATACACAATTACAAAATGCTGCGACAGTTGAGAGAAAACACATCAGTCCCATCAATAAATATGATATCTATTGGAATTAACTCACTATTAAAATAAAAAGATTTAAAATTTGGATCACAAATCAAGACCAAATTATATGCTATATATGAGGGCACCTAAAACAATGGACCCTGAAAGGTTAAGATAAAGGAATAGACAAACGCGTACTGGGAAAACGGGGAAAAATAAGAAAGCAGAGGCAGTGATCCTGATAGCAAAGTGGAATGCAAACCCCCAAAGTGTTAACCACGAGGTGGGGTGCTTTCTAATGCTAAGAGTCACAATTCATAGAGCAAGCATAGCATTTATGAATACTATGCACCAAATAACATGGCAACCACCTTTATGAAGTAAAAGCTACAGGATATGGAAGGAGACAGGCAGAAACACATTGATAACAGGAGACTTGAACACACCACTCAGTACCAGGCAGATCAACGCGAACATAAATGAGGAAGGACGCAGACGACCTGAACACCACCATCAAGGCACGTCTTGTGGATACACATCTGGGCACCTACCTTCTCAAGTGCCCAGAAAACATTCACAAGAACTGTTTAAAAGATAAGTAAATTTCATAAAGCAGAAATGTTACATTGACATTCTGTGAACATGATCGATAAACTAGAAACTACTGACACAAAAGAGGAGGGCATGCGGCTGAGTGTGGGGCGTGGGTAAGGTGTAGGGGCTGAGAGAGGGGAGAGGGGTGGCCTGAGGAAATGCAGCTGGTCCTCACAAGGTGTGTGGCTGGGAGTTGAAAGTGTGGTGGTGTGCTGTTTCCCGAGGCTGCGGCCGGGCCGCCGTGAGGCCGGTGGAGCCAGCTTTAAGCGGAGTTGGGTTTTGCCCGCTGAGTATTACAGAGGGTACCAGGGGCTTGGGGTGTGCTCAGGGAGGGACTGTAGCACTGCAAGATGGAATCCACCCTGGTCAGGAGGGAGATGAGGACAGGTGAGGGGCTGTGAGGCGGGCGGGCAGGGCACTGGGGTTGCGAGGACAGAGGCTCCTGGGGTGTGAAGGTGGGCCGCGTCTGGAAGGGGGAGGGATGCCGGAAATTGGAGATGACTGAGGAGAGGGGAAGACTGTGGAGTGAGTGGCTGAGGAAGGATGGAGGACAGGACCTCTGGGAGAGAGGAGATTCAGGTATTGAGAGGCCAGGGTGAGGGAAAGAGTGAAACCCCTGAGATTCAGACGGGGGAGGGAACAAGAGGGTGTCTGTGACCAGGAACTATATCAAGGACCCTCGGCAGGGGTGTGGTGGGTGAGTAGCCCATGGTAGACTGAGGACCTGGGATTTAGAGCTGAGATTTTAGGGAGAAAGCCAGTCCCACCCCCGAGGGCTGTGGTGACCACTGACGAGCAGGTAGGGGGAAGGGGGTCCTTGGAGGAGCAGGAGAGAAGGCGGCTCTGGTGTGGTTGGGGGATCGTCAGGAGCCCTCTCCACGAGCGGTAGGTGGCTGAGGCTGGGCAGGGTGTTTTATGTGGAACACGGATAGAATGAAAGGCGAGCAGAGCCCCGCCCCAGGAGGTGCACAATAAATGAGCAGGTCCTGGACTCCCTCCCTGCACCCAGGCCTGAAGGAGTCCTCATGGGCTGGGACGGGACAGGCAGGAGGGCGGAGCTGGGGTGTAGGCCCTGCCCCGACTGGGGGTGGTAGGAGGGTGGGCAGGGGGTAGTGAAGGAAGGTGGGGCTGGGCACCTGTCCAGGGGTATGGAGAAGTCCAGGAAGGCAGCCACCAGCTCGGGGGTGTGGTTCCGGGCTAGCAGGGTGATGACATGCAGGGCATCTTCCTGGGCTTGGGGGATGCGGACAGAGCGGAGCTGCAGGTGGATGGCCCGGCCCAGGTTGGCAACCTGTGCAGGGAGGGTGTGGGGGAGAGGGTCGGTCTGCCTGGGGAGGCCAGGCCTGTCCTGGGGAGCCTACAGGGGGAGGAAGGTCCTGCCCTGCTGAGCGTGGAGCCCCTCTAGACATGGTCCTCCCCCGAGTGAGGAGTGTGAGGGGGGAGACACAGGCCTGCCCAAGGTGGTCTGAGGGAGGAGGCCCAGCCTGCCCTGGACACCTGGTCAGAAGGGGTGTCCCCATCTGAGAGGGAGACAGTATCACTGCCTTTCATAAGGTATTTGAGGTCTTCCAACTCTGTCTAAATGTTGCCCAGGCCCTGGAAGGGTCAGGCACACCCACCTCATCTCCTGAACACGCCACTTCGGCATCTGCTATTCCCGGTGACTGGAATGCCTCTCCCCCTTCCCCTTTTGGGCGTCTCTTCCCCATCCACTCATGCCCAGACCCAATACCACCCACATGGGGTTTTGTCTGCACGACCTAGCATTAGTCACCCTCTTTGTGGGGGTACCGTCCCACAGGGTGCACTCCCCTGCTTTTGCATTTCCTGTGCTGTCCAGTCCTCATCTGTCTGGGGTCTGTTCCCTCCATTGAACTGAGTCTCCTGGAGGGTCCTGGCTGTGCCCCCTTCTTCCCCATTTCCCACACTACTGCTCGCTCACCGGTGTTTGCCCCTTGACCCTGCAAACACCACCCAGGGCCCCAGCACACCTCCCCTCCTCCCTCCCTCCTCTCCTCCCTCC